CCTTTCTTTCTTTTTTTGTTTAACCTCTTAGCTGTGGTGTCGCTGGAACGACGCGACGACGATTATACTCGTGAAACACAGAGTACGTAAAATTGAATAAATTAGAAGGAAATGACGCCGTTTTTTTTTTTTTTCAATATTATTCACAAAATTAAACATTCGTAATTTTCGTTTGTTAAACAAAAAAAATCAAATGTTTAGGAAAGAATAGAACGAGGTTAGAAATTTAATTCATTCTTTAAGAATGATGTTTCTTAAAGCAAGGTGCGATGAAACTGATGTTGCATGTGTCGCAGAAGTTTACACACGTTAATTTTCCATTATTCCGTTTACATGAAACAAAAATGAAAAATAACGTTTGACGTTTCCAGTATGTGCACAGAATATATCTTTCATGCGATACAAATGGCGTCCGAAGAAATGGCGCAAGATGGCGCGCACAAGCGATCATAGCACGAAACTATTTAGAATTGATGTAACGAGAATTAGTCTCGAGATATTCTAAAAAGTGTAAAAAGAATTTTAGCAAACATGTTTTATCTAAAATTTAAATTTTTTTTCGAGTAACAAATTGTAATTACTTTTCTCGTACGGCGAGAAGCACAGCTAAGAGGTTATGTCGGTTTTCGATCGAGCGCCAACGAAAATCACCAGCAGCTCTCCTCGGCAAACGAACAAAATCAAAAAATGAACGATCTCGACGAGATCGAGGATTCGTATAGTTTCTTTAGGCCTGTAAGTCGTCCGAAGGATTTCATAGTAATCTTAAGGAATTTCTCGTCGAATCTCCTTGTCACCGGATTTCGTCCTTACTTGAGAAGACTTGTGTCCACTGAGACGAATTACAAAGTGCACACACGCGCGCGCGTTTTATTTCGTAACTTACGAGTTAATCAAGTCAATCGTAGCCAATTCAATCTCGCTCGAGAACGAAACTCGTGCAACGAAACACCTCGCCTCCGTAGTTCTCTCCCCACCCCCTCCCCCCATTCATCGACGTGTCGTTCGCGTTTCTTGCGTTGCGGGGACCAATAAATTCGCACTACGACTGTCGGAGTTGGCCGTGCCAAAAGAAAAAAAAGAAAAAATTGAAGAGGGACAGTTTCCGCGGTTTCTTTAAGTCTTGATCAGTCCGTTCAGTTCGCTCACGCGTAATTCCGATTCGCCGCGAATCCACATACACACACACACACACACACACATACTCACAGAGAGTCGAAGACTGACGCTTCCGGTCGAGCGTTTCATCGAAGCGTTACGTGATATCTGTTCACTGCCATTTCGTTTCTTTCTATCTATTTGTACACACTTATGTATAATTCAAGACGATTTTCGTGACGATTCGGTTGACAAAGCGAATGGCTAGCTTATCGATCGCACAGAGAGATTAGGAGTGAAAATTATCGAACGAAAGGTGGTGCGGAACGAAATGAA